GACCCACCGGTGGGTCAGTAGGGTTCTAGGGGTTAAGAAAAAATTAACTTATCTAGATTTAGATTTTTTGCAGTGTAGATGGTCAGGCTGCTGACTCCCTGCCTGAGTCTGTCCTAGTGACTTTTGGTATTCACTGTGTGGCTATACTGTGTCCCATTCTCAACAAGCTCCTCTCTGTTCTCAGTTTTCATTTAGTCTGTTTAATGTTACTATTTTTTCAGTTGTCCTGTTTCAAAGATGCACAAAATAATCTGAATTACCTCTAGTCCATTTTTTTCTTCCTTATCTTATCCTTAACTCTCCAAGATCAGGCCTTCTGACAAAGAATGTGGGATTCATTTAATGTGGGCTTACATTTATTTAATGTGGGCTTTAATGTGTTAGGCAAACATCTAGAAGTTCAAAGTAGCAACCCTCTGAGCCATGTTGTACCTTCAACATAATGTAAATATCAACGTTTGAACAAAGTTCTCTTCTTCTCATCCAGGGATGAACTCCATCTTTGTTTATGTTGGCCACTCGCTCCTCGGATTCTACTTCCCCTTCAGCTGGGAGATGCGCTTCCAGGAGAGCCACTGGGAGCTGCTGCTGCAGAACATGTGGGGAACTGCCCTGTGGTTGCTCGTCTCCTACCTTCTCTACAGGAAGAAGTTTTTCCTCAAAATATAGGCAGGAACATATCCTATGAAGACACTGACCTACATGCCTTACACAATAAAATACATAAATCAGTGTTTGGACTTAGACTTAGACTCAACTTTATTAATCCCATTAGATTACTCCTATTCTGGTTCCAGTAGCTTATATAGAGGACAAAGGATTAAAGCAAAATGCCATTAAAGATAAAAAATACCACAGACAATATAAAAAGAGTGTATATCGTACCAAAAAAGCATTTGAAAAAGTTGTAATGTTGTAAATATGTTTCCCTTAGATATAAAAATATCTGCACAGTAGAGTTGGGTTATGTTATGTTGGGTTATGGTGTGAATTGGCATCAGTTACACTTAAAAAAACGCTACTTTAAGAATTTATTATTCGATTAGAGTGTCTAGAAAATGTCGGTTTAAATGTGACAGACAGCAGAACATGACGCAAGTAGTTGCTGTCCTAAACTGTACAGAATCAGTCTATTCTCATTATGAGTTTGTATGAAATCGTACGAAAAACTATGCACCGTAATTTCGTACGTTTTGGACGTTTTTTTCGTCGTATGCGCATCTTACACACCATTCAATAACATAGAATTTAACATACAATTAACCCTAATCCTAAGATATAAAACAGCAAGCAACGTAGTTAGAGACATGAAGAAGTAATTATTGCACTGTTTTTCCAATTTTTACATCCGTCCGCGGATCTGCTTTTTTTGTCTGTCTGCCTGCGCATGCGCACTGATCTGTTTTTTTGAGGAAAAATGTCCAAAACGTACGAAATAGTGTGCATAACTTTTGATACGATTTCATACGAACTCATAATGAGAATATGTTGACAGAATGGCCTCCTGATGTATCCTGGTTTCCATGACAACAGCGGACACCACCTACCAGAACTATCCTAACATCACAAATGTAAACATTTAATCCTCACTAAACAGCTAAGATTAGACAACATACCAGGTGTTTTTTGGGGTTTTTTTGGCAGTGGAAAAATAGCAGATGCCTACTGTTAAGTACGGTGGAGGTCCTTTGATGCTGTGGGCCCCTTTCTCCTCCTAAGGACCCCTTGTTAGTGTGTATGGTATTTTTAGATTATGCTGCCTCCTGCATATTTGCTTATCCCTCTGAATAACTTTCAGTTTGTCTGATTTATCAAAATAAAAGTGTTTCTCATTCTTCCCTGTCAGAGGTGTTGGGGTTGGTTGGGGCACATGATTCATATAAAAACCAACGAAAGTCATGTTAGCTACTGTATTTTCACCTTAGATTTCTACTCCAATGTAATTTGTCTTCATAGGTTTACTTATTTTTGTAATGTTTAGTAGCTTTTAAGTCCATGTTTATAGATTTCTTTACATCCCATGCTTTTTATCGTATTACACACTGTTTGCTGACTAAAGCTGTAGAGTTTATTTATATACTGTAGCGCCAAATTCACAACACATGTCATCTCAAGGCACTTTACATTAAACCAGATCATACAGTCAAATTGATTCAAAGTTTTCTATCTAAGGAAAACCAGTTGATTGCATCGATTCATTGACTCAAATACAATCCTTCACACTAAGCATGCTTGTAGCGACAGCGGAGAGGAAAAACTCCCTTTTAACAGGAAGAAGCCTCCAGCAGAACCAGGCTCAGTGTGAGCGGCCATCTGCTGAGGCTGACTGGGGTTCAAGGAGACAGAAGCAGAGATACAAAAAGCAGCTGTAAAAGGCGGCCCTGTCTAGGAAACACACAGCCAGGCAG